TATGTTTATTTTGCAGTAAATGAACAACATTCTTGTGAAAATCATGTAAGATTTAACAGTTCTACAAATTTATACTCAAAATAACAAAATATTCAACACTAAACAAACAGTTCTCACAAGGTAAAGGCAACTTGATTATACCAAACGAAAGTTCAGTACTGTTAATCTTTGATTGAGAAACTGAAATTAACTTGAGGCAATTAATGTACTCAGTTTATGTTTTTCTGTTAATCACTCATAGTATGTCAGACTCAAAACACAGCAGCAGCTGCTTGAGCACTGGCTAATGTGCGCTTAGAGGAGTCCGGAATACGTGTTCGATTGTCCTCCACCACCTGTATCAGTTTTTGCAGTTCTGTTTCATTTTTGGTTATAGACTGGTTAAAATTTGTCATGAGTGCCACAGTGCGTTCTGCAGTGTCATTAACGACCTTAAGTGACTTCACAACATTTGCTACTTTTTGAAATAAAGGAAGATCGTTCCATGAGTCTGGTTCAGTTTCACGCAAGATAGCAACATCCATTCCAAGTGATAACAATGCAGCACGAGATGTACCTGATACCAGATCATGCAGTGGTTTGCTTTTCACCTGTTCCAGTTCAGTTGCAGGATATTTGACACCTCGCACACTCCAGTCAGAATCTACTGCAGTCATTGCTTCCACAATCAACTCAGCATTTGCAACCTTATTTGAGAACAATGACAGCCAAACCATTTCTGTACCGAGATACCACAGATGATTCTTCAACTTTTTTGTGGCAGCACTTGCTACATTCTTGTTGATTTCAGAGTATTGTTCAATTCTGCTCAGAAGTTGCAGGTCATTGACTGGTGCATCACTGGGTATTGGGCACAACATCCATGCTGGCACATATATATGGGTTGCAAATAGGCAGAATTCAGTTAAACTTTTTGTTTCAGTTGCTGTTAGCTTGAATTCATTGCGGAACAAATACATTTTGAGACAGTAGATCAAAATTTTGAACGAAGAGTATAAAAAAATTTTTCAAAATTTGTTGTCTTCATGCGGCGACGACTTTTCCACCGCTCGTTTGTTGGCCATGTCCAGCGTTGCCAGCTGTGGGTGGTTGAGATCGTGGCCCAACACCTCTGTGGGCACTAGGCTTGACGACGAGTCTGTGAGATTTGCCATTGGCTTCAGACTTGGCCTGGTCATTCAGAATAAATACACGTGACGATGTGGCGCAGGGGCGGACGAGTTTGGGCACCACGGTTTGGTTTGTCGCCTGGGTGGGGGCCGTCAACTACGTCACTCAGAGCTAAACGAATACATTTGTAAACCTGACAAGTAAAGAATGCGGTTTGGCCGCGGCCAGGGCAGCGGACGAGAAAATGAAAAAATATGGGAACGCCCTCCCCTCGATGGAATTCTTGCCAATATGTATTGAGGTTCTCTGCCCGATGGACCCCAACACCCTTAAATTGCAATTAACCAGCAATTCTGTTCATTCATTCTGTTTATTCATTCTGTTCATACATTCTATTCATTAATTCTGTTCATTAATTCTGTTCATTAATTCTGTTCATTAATTCTGTTCATTCATTTTGTTCATTCATTCTGTTCATTCATTCTGTTCATTCATTCTGTTCATTCATTCTGTTCATTCATTCTGTTCATTCATTTTGTTCATTCATTCTGTTCATTCATTCTGTTCATTCATTCTGTTCATTCATTCTGTTCATTCATTCTGTTCATTCATTCTGTTCATTCATTATGTTCATTCATTCTGTTCATTCATTCTGTTCATTCATTCTGTTCATTCATTCTGTTCATTCATTCTGTTCATTCATTCTGTTTATTCCTTTTGTTCATTCATTTTTTTGTTACGTTAATTTTTTTCTTTTCACTCATCATGTTTTTATGTTCGTGATTATTATTGTCTATTTTTTGTTTTTCCGTTCCCCTAATAACGTTTAGCATATTTTACATTTACTCCATTATTCAATCAGTCAACCGTTCTCATTTGTTCATTCCTTTTTATATTTACACTTGCCCGTTCTTCCATTCCTCCACGCGTCGGTTCTTGTATTGGTCCGTTGTTTAATTTTGCATATGAAGGTGTTCGCGAAAGTATTGCATTATATATTGATCGCTTCAATTCATTCAATACTCGGCCACCTGTTAGTTCTGCAGTTGTTACGTTACATCAGGTGATTTTAATAAGTTATGCTACGTTATGTTCTGTTATTATTATTATTATTATTATGAAAAATATGCACGCAAGACATTAAATCTCCATACCCACTCTTAAAATGATGAAATAAATAAAACAAATAATTAAAATTATTTGAGTAAATACATACGCGAACTTCATCTATCATTGAGAAATAAAATAAAAATTACATACGATAATGATATTAATAATTACCCTGAATGAAGAAACTTGAAATGTCGCCACAAATTTAGATTTCAGGTAAGCACACCATCACCTTATTAATACATACGTTCTATTTCAAATCATCAATACTGTAATTTTAGCAATGCAATTTATAATTCACTTCGCATTCACACATTATGTCAAATCAAGTCTTCAATCACTCATACACATAAATTTAAGCGACGTTTTGCTAAGTTATTTATTTTGATACGTTATGCTATTAAAGAGATGGCTACGTTTTGTTAGATTTTTTCAGCTGAAATTTTGTTGGCTTGCAAGGTCGCCAAAAATTACTTATCGTGTTTTTATTTTAGATACGTTTTAGCCAATTTAATAATTTGACAGAATTTAAAAAATAAATTTTAAAATAAGATGAATAAACAAATGTTTTCTGAGAACAATCAATGTTAAAAATACAATTATGGCATTAAATAAGGTGGAGAACAAATTTACTAAAAAAACTGTTTTTGTAGCAAGAGGAGTAAATTTGTGTAGGCATTCATAACCGTCCTCAGTAGCAATAATGTGCCGGTTGGTGGGTATTGAATAGAAAACATACGAAAATATGAAATGATATTTTTTTTAACTTCTCATAAATACCTTTTCAATCAATGTACAACATTCGTAGATAAATAAAGACAAAATTTACTCTCTAGTGTGACTATGGAAAATAGATGAATTAGCAATTTTCTGATGATGGCAGCTGAAACAATGATCCAAAGCCGTTCTAAAAGTAGGTCAAAGGGTTTTGCATTTTTGTCGACTAAATATTTTTTACAACAGCCTATCAAAATTTCAAAAAAACAAAACAACAAAAAAAAACAAAACAGAGGTTTGCTTCAAATTAAAATAGAAGATTTTGATTAATATTAACATGCTGCATAGAAAGTAGATTTTGGTGGTTTTTAATAAGTTTTGTTAGTAAAAAAATTTAACAAATTTTTCTTATATAATTAGAAAAACAATTAAAAATTTGTATAACCAAAAATTTAATATTTGAAAAATTTTTTCAATTTTTTTAGTGAAATTTAGCATCAAATTTAATGTTCTTTTTCCGTATATTTGGACAACAAAAGGCTGTAAAAATAGATAACTTGTGTTTGGACTTATTAAAATGTGCCAAACAGCAAAATGTATGAATTCGTGTGCACCATAAAATAAATAATTGCAACGTTTTTCTTGTAAATTCATTCAATTTATAAATTAGTTTAAACATGTTTCAAATGAATTCAATAGAAGATTTATTTTCGAGAAATCGTTTTAATGAACAAACCGTTTAAGGATTAACGTCAAGGGACTGAAGCAAGGAATACCAAGCTCTTAATGATGTCGAGTTTAACTTTATCAGCATTTCAAATTGTTAACCAGTTATTATCTTTTTATCGGCAAATAACAACTTACTTGATACCTTAATTAGCATCAAACAAACACATACTATTTTTTCAAAAAGCATCGTAATCTCCGGTTAGGTTTTCATTTTTTAGATAAGATTTTTCGTGAATTTGATTGTAGATGTTTTATGGCTTTGTGACGAGTTCAAACCGTTTTTTATTTGTTGACGGTTTTTTTAAATAAATTTTTATGTTTTGGTAAGTTCATTTGCATGATACTAATTTATGTAAAATGTAAATACTTCTGGCGTGATACGATAAAAACAAACGTTCATTAGTCATATTGAGTTTATTTAAAAAAGAGCTAAAAATAAAACTGTGCGTTTAACTATTCAAAATGCTGAGTATACAATTTTTTGTGTACAAAAAATCAATTGAAAAGCAATAAGTTATAATTTTAATCTTAAATTCAATAAATTATGTTGTTTAAATATTGAAAAACTTGCTAACTACTACATCATGATTTATCAGCACTCTTGTTTCTTTCGTTGAACAATCTTTTCGATCACGCAATAGATATATTTATAAACTAAATTTCACCAACTAGCATTAACAAATGACAGCCTTCGTGAAAAATCATTCATTTTCATTTAATGGATAGCTCGAAACATGTTTAAATGGAAGAGAAACTGCCTCGCTTGAGAATTTGTTTCTATAATGATTGCATCAAATGTTTTATTAGCCATCATAAAAGTTTATTTGGTTTTATCCGTTCCCATTGAGAAAAGGACTAAAGCAAAGGTTAGATTTTAATGAAAAATAATTATTCTAACAGTTTTTATCATTAATGTCAGTTTATCAGTTTATGTAAGAAAAATATAACTTTTAGTGGTGTAGCCAGAAATTTTCATTTTTCATTTTCAAAGTTTTATTCATAATCAACAACATATCAAATAAGTGAATAAAAGTTATGAAGTTGAATATGCGGAGACCGAATAAGACTGTTTGTCTTGTGTTGGCCACCGCAGGTAGATACATGAATAGTTAATGAAATAAAATAAGGAAAATAACTGAAGCAGAAAGATAATTGAAGATAAATAAGTAAATGTTCGTGTCATACATATATAGACATATAACTATGTAAATGTTCGCTCAGTACATATATAATACATAAAAGTTTAACCATTCATAAAGACCATTCATCCGCATCATTTGTTTTAAGTATTCTTAATATAATATTAGGTAGTGGAGTCGAGATCCAGTGTCAATAAAAAAGCACGGAATTTTGACTTGAAATGTTGTAGGTTTATGATGTCTCTTAGATGGGGAGGTACAAGTTCTGTCCAAATTTTAGGACCTGTTATTTTTATGCTTGTCTGGATTAATTTGAGGCGAGTTTTGTAGATATAGAAGAGAGGGGTGTGTCTAGTGGTTGTAGATTGAACTTAATGTGTAGAAATTGATAAAGTGAGGTGGGAGAAGATTGTTGAAAAACGAATAAAGCAGAGTAGTAAAGACAGATAAAGTTAAGTGGTAAAATTTGTTTTGCTAGGAAGAAGGGTTTAGTATGAAAATCGGGTTTGAGGTTAAAAATTAAACGTATTAATCTTTTTTGAGAAAGTATTAGGTTATTCAGGTGGCTTTTTGGACTATTTCCCCATAGTGTGATGCAGTAGGTTAGATAATGGTAGATGAATGTGTAATAAAGCGTGCGAAGAGCAGAAAGAGAGAGTTTATATTTGATTTTGTAGAAGATGCCTGTGAGTTTGTTGATTTGTCTGAGGTAGTTTGTAGGTGAGAATTCCATGAAAGATTTTCTGTGATGGTGATTCCAAGAAATTTGGTAGACAGGGTGCGGCTTATAGGAACACCATTAACTAATAGGTTTAGGTTAGGAGCTTGGTTGGTGAGTATTTTTGGGCCAAAAATAATGTATGCACATTTCGAATAATTTATGATTAGTTTGTTATTGGATAACCAGTTAGAGTATTTTTGGAGTTCAAGATTGATATGTTGAGAGCAATCTGGTAGGTTGTTGGAAGTAAAAAGAAGGTTGGTGTCGTCTGCGAACAGTACGCATTTGGTTGAGGGCGAAACATTGCAGAGGTCATTTATGTAGATAGAAAATAGAAGGGGTCCTAGTATGGATCCTTGTGGCACCCAGTGATGAATAAGAGCGTGCTTTGAATTGATGTTGTCCATGGAAACATATTGTGTCCGTGATGAAAGATAGCTTCTCATCCAGTTGTGAGCTGTGCCTCTTACTCCGTAATGATGTAGTTTGGATAGGAGTATTTTGTGATCGATGACATCGAAGGCTTTGGATAAGTCCAGGAAAATGCCAATAGAAAGATTTTTGTTATTCATTTCATTTAGTATATGCTGAGTGAAGTCAAGAATAGCAAGCTCAGTTGAGTGGTTGGGTCTGAATCCGTATTGGTTATTGCAGATAGTATTGTTGGAGCAGAAGAAATTAGAGAGTCTTTTAAAGAAAAGTTTTTCAAGAATTTTTGACAGCGGGGAAAGAATGGAAATGGGTCTGTAGTTGTTAATGTCATCTTTGTTTCCTTTCTTGAATACTGGTATGATTTTGGCTATTTTAAATGAGTCAGGAAAGATTCCAGTGCTTAGTGATAAGTTGAAGATATGATTAAGTGGTGATATGATAGAGAAAATTATGCTTTTGATAAGGAACATGTTGAGTCCATCGTCTGCATAGCTCTTTTTGTTTTTCAAGATATTAACAGTAGTTAATATTTCTTGTTCAGTAACAGGATATAGACAAATGGAATGGGGTGTGGATGGGCTCATAAAATCTGTAGGACAACCATAGCTGGGAGGTTTGTTTGAGAGTAGTTGACTAGCGATGTTTGCAAAGTGGGTGTTGAGAAGGTCACAAATTTCTTGTTTATTTTCAATTGTTTGGTTGTTGATAGTTAGTTTGGTGATTGATGAGTTAGGAGGTTGCTTGTTTAGAATTTCTTTGATAGTGTTCCATTTTTGTCCAACATTGTTATGTGCGTCTTCAAGTTTGTTAGAGAAGTAGTCTCGTTCAGTTTTTCGTTTAATAGATGTAAACATGTTTCTGAAGCTTTTGTAGGTGGCAATGTTGCGGGTGGTTGGATATTTAAGGCTAATGATGTATAGTTTGTTTTTCTTTTTTGCATTTGTTGTGGGGTTGCTTAAATTTTTCAAAAAAGTTGGTGACCACTTCTTCTGCTTATCACATTCACATCATTTTAAACAATTTTTGTTATTAAAACCGGTTAGGTAAATTTTTTTACTGATTTAATTGTTGTGGGAGGATCAGAATTTCTACAAATTTTTATAAAAATGCTGTTCAATTTTGTATTAACCCGACCAAAATTTTCCATTGTAGAGGCATCTGCTCCAAAGCCTCGCATCACATAAGCTTTTATGATGACTTTTCATGTATCAAAAGACCTATACAAAGAGTATGAGAATTAGACATATTAAATTTTCGTCATTGATCAATTCTTAAGGACTTCTTGAAAAGATTTGGCTATGCCAGACAGGAGATTGACTACGACGATCAAGCATTCAAATGTTCCCTGCGAAAACTTCAGCGCTACACTGGCATCAGCGATACAGGTTGTTTGATGTTAGTTGTGGGACGAAAAAATTTTATCAAATTTCTGTTATTTTTTTTCCACATTTCAATTACATTTGGAAAACTAATCAAAATGTGGAAATTTATGTTCATGTTAAATATTGCCAAATGGTAAAGTAAAACAATTAACTTAGTGACTGATTGATTGATTAAATAATCAATTCAATAATTAATTAATTGCAATTTGCAATTACAATTAAAGTGCAACCACTAGATATCATTTTACAAAACATTATTAAGAATAGTCAAATCGTTCATTGTTCAGGAAACTTGGACGAACCTACCTTAGCAGTTTTGAACAGGCCCCGTTGTCAGCATCCTGATTTTGAAGCTGACGAAATGAACGAGGGCAAAATGAGAGAAAAAAGATATGCCACTATAAGTGAATATATTTTTTTAATTTGAATTATAAACATAAACAGAAAAGAATAAAATTAATAGGTCGTTGGGTGAACACTTCATTAACATACAACATAAATAATTATCCTCTTAAAACTATCGGGTTAACATCCGACCAGATTAATGTTGCCATGGACGATTCATTCAAAGTTTGTCAAAAATTGTTAACTTTTCAAATTTTAATTGTTTTAATCAGATATGACTGATATGATTTTGAAATTTTTTTTGAACTGCCTATTCTACGATATTTTCTTAATATTAACACTACAACTTTTTTTTATAATTAAATTCAAAGATGTGGACTAAACAAGTTCCCAAACTTTCAATCAATCGCACAAAACTTACTGCTAAAATAAACGTCAAATTCTTGAATGGATCGCACGGAGATAATTATTCTTTTGACGGGATAGGTGGCGTCTTGGGGCATGCTTACTACCCTCCAAATGGCAATGTTCATTTTGATGCAGCTGAAGTTTGGAGCCAAGGAACAAATTTAGGTTGGAAATTTAAATTGATTTGGGGGAAAAATATTTTTTCTCTTGATAATTCAATAAAACATTTTTTGATCTTGACTAAAAGTTTAACTTTTTTATTGGAATATGTATTTTTATTTAAATTGCAATTTTGGGGTTAAAGGGTAATAATAATAATTTTAATCGGTATTGTAATAGTAAACCAGCTCATTTACTCTACTAAATTTTCAGTCAACATCAACAGTAGACGCCGACTCAAATAAAAGTGCAAAAAACTGTTATAATCATAAAACATGCATATAACGCAAACTTTATCGATTCTTTAATTGCGTAAAAAATTACCGTTATATAAAAAAAATCATTCTTTTCATATTTTTCCTTGTTGAAGCTTTAATCAAATTATTCTTGTAAAGAATAAGCCCCAGTTATCACCTATTTGAAACTTTCTTACCTGTTTGTGCTCATGAGTGTATGCCTATGTTCCTATTTTGTATTAAAAATATAAAATATCACACACCACACACACTACACACACACACCACACACACACGCATATATATATATATATATATATATATATATATATATATATGTATATATATGTATATATATATATATATATATATTATTACAGAAATTTATATACAACGTTTTTTTATTGTTGAATCTCAAAAGCGCTACTGAACCATAGACAAATAAGACGGACATTCATTGTGCAAATAAATAAGTTTTAAGTTAACTTTGAAATTGTAAATATGATAGGTTAGGGTCACGTAAGTAAGGAGGTAACCATTCCAAACAACCGGGCAAAGAACCGCAAAGTCGAGATAAAAAATAAATTGCGCTCGGTTGATCGGAAGGAATGAGATTTGTATGATTCCAATCTATTAATAAGATAGGGAGGTGCTGCATTATTGACACATTTAAACATCAAGACTGCTAACTTGAAGGAAACACGTTTCTCAACCCTCAACCAGTGCAACTTATTCAAAATAGGCGTAACATGATTGAACCACGAACCACTCAAAACCAGCTTGGCCGCACGATTCTGTATTGACTGAAACTTTGAAAAAGACCTTTTGGTGACACCATAAAAAACCATTGCAATAGTCCAGTCTGGAAAAAACGAAAGAGGGAATCAAACTTTGAAGAACAGACGTGTTTAGTGATTTTTTGACATTGCGTAATAAACGCAGTTGGTTGGAGCAGACCCTCACTAAATTATTAATATGTAAATCCATCTTTAGGTTTGAGTCAATAATAACTCAAAGACTACGGACAGATGTGGAAAATTCAATGATGTCATTGCCAATACTGATCGATGAAATTTTGACCTTTGACAGCCGCTGCCATGAACCAACCGGTAATATTTGTGTCTTAAATTGATTTAACTTTAACTGATTAACACTCATCCAAGATCTAATTTCGATAAGACAATCAATCATTTTATTCAGAGAAGCATCAATCGAATCAACAGGACAAGATACCAATAACTGAATATCATCAGCAAAGGCGTGGGAGCTGAACTCATATTCTTGAATGGTATCAAAAACATCAGGAGTGTACATAAGAAACAACAGAGGTCCCCACACAGATTCCCGGGGGACACGAAACGATAGTTTGTTTACGTCAGAGAGAGTGTTGTTGTAAGAAACCTGCTGGGTGCGGTCTAAAAGATAGGAAGAGAACCACGATAAGACTGAATCAGAGAGAAAAAAATTTGTGGAAAGTTTATACACGAACACGAGACGAGTATGATCGACACAATCAAATGCAGCACTCATATCAAGTAATGCCAAAAAAGAAACGCATTGACTGTCAATTGAAAAGAACAACTGGGAGAAAATATCAATGAGTGCAGTTTCTGTGGAAAAATATTGACGATAGCCAGATTGGTTCTCTAGCAACAAATTGTTTTTGTTTAAATGCTGTAACAATTGTTTGATAACAACTCGTTCAATGACTAGAAATGAATGAGAAATTAGAGATAGGACGGAAATTTGATTAAACGTTGTCGCCAAATTTGATTTTTTTAGAAGTGGGGTTACAATAGCATGTTTCAAAGGGTTGGGAAAACTGCCAGTTAATAAACATTGGTTGACAAAAAATGTCAAAAATGGCAAAAAAAGATTTATAAATTTCTTAAATATGTACGTTGGAATCAGATCAAGAGAACAAGAACTGCTAGGGGAGTCACAAACTATTTTACGCAATTCATCTGGAGTGCACATTTGAAAATTGGAAAGATTAACAATTGAATCAGGTAAGACAACCCTAAAGACATATTCAAACTGGATTGGTTTGTTGGTATTTTTTATAGTCGTGCTACGAATATTATTGGTTTTATTGATAAAAAATGTCATATATCATTGGGGAAGAAATCATTTGATTGGTTTTTATTGTGATTTTTAGATAAAATTTTGTCGAGGATATTTCACCATTTTTTGGTTGTTTTTTAAACGAATCAACTTGATTTGACCAAAATTTGTTTCTTTTTTGGGGAAAATTTTTATATTTTTTCTTTTAACGCTAAGCGCCATGCATTTCGATTAATATCAATTTTTATTTTCCTATACAATCGCTCTAGTTTTTGACAGTTGCGTTTTAATGAACGACATTCAGAGTCAAACCAAGGGGCAAATGGTACATGAGTAGATTTGACATAACGACAAGGAGCAACGATATCCACACCACAATCCTCACGATTTCAGAATTAAACAAATCTAACAGGGTATCAGCGGAAGATGAATTGAACGGCCCTGAAATTGGGGAATCGAGAACTAGTGAAAAAAATTGATTTTCGTCAATTTGATTCCATGAACGAGTAAGTTTCCATTTTTTCTGAGGTGTGGGAACAGAAATAGGGAAACAAATTTTAATTAAATTGTGGTCTGAGTACACATTTGGTGGATCAACGGAAAAAAATTGTGAGGGAAGGTCAGAACTAGAGGTAATTCAATATAATGTTCCACCATGAACATGGGTTGGTTCATTTATTCTATTTATCAATTGATATAACTTTAGAAAAATACGGAGAAAATCGAAAACACTGTTGCTGAGTCAAAAGCCAAATGTATGTATGTATGTATATATATATATATATATATATATATATATATATATATATATATTTTTACAATATTCTATAAATTCTACCGAATGTTTAGCGTTAATATGTTTGTAGTTCGTTTTTTCTATTTTTCTCACTAAAGTTTTTTGGTGAACGTTTAGTTTATTAAAATTCAAAATAAACTTATTTTTCGAATTCATGCTGCAAATAAGGCCATATTTCGATTCCGAATGAATCATCATCAGTGCTCCTTGCTGTATATATAGGAAAATATTGACTTTGTCAAGATGAACTTTGATGTTTTAAAAATTAACTTTGGTGTTGTAAAATTGAACTTTGATGCGAATTAGGTGTCAGGTTTCTTTATTGGCTGGTCATCTTCTTTGGTCTCCTTTTCTTCATCAATAGCATCATATTTTTCTTTGTCACTATTTACGATGCTAGTTTTTATTACTTCTTTGTTTTCGTTGTTGGTTAAGCGCCGGGTTGGAAGTGAGGTTGTCATTTTTTGTTGTATATTTATTTTTTATTTATTGATGTCAATTAGGACTGCTTCTGCAATTTTAAGATGCGTGTAGTTGCGGTTCTAGTATATTACTTTGGTGTTGCTGTCGAGGATTTCACGGCTAATTGTGATTGAGTGTGTTGAGTCCAAATGAGATTTGATAGCACCTCTTTGTTTATGCATCGTAAGCCTTCTAGTCAGTGAGGTAGTAGTAATCCCGATATATGAGTCATGTTGACGTGCACAGCCGTCAAAGGGGCACTTAAATTCATATATAACGTGATTACGCTTTAACTCAGAGTATCTCTAGGGGGGATCCTCA